CAGTTTTTCTTTTTTAATAAATCTGCAAAAATGTCAACAATTCTGTGTTTTTCTGTCAATATGGGGTTGTGTGTGTACAATGAGGAAAAAAAATTAACTTAAATGATTTTAGCAAATGGCTCCAATATAACAAAGAGTGAAAAATTTAAGGGGGTCTGAATACTTTCTGTACCCACTGTATATATATATATATAAAAACTTTCAGCAAAGATAACTATGGCATGACACATACCGCTATTGTAATATAAAATTATTCATACATTTAAATTACACAATTGTGGTTGTCCACCCATCCCTATTTACTAGGTATAATCATCTAAAATTATTGTAATCATCTAAAAAATACATATTGGAATTTTGAGGCTTGCAAAACATACTTCATTTAGCTTTAGCTTACCCTCTTCTGTGAGAGACAGTGACTCCTGTCAGCAAGATGTGTTCATCGTCCTGAGACCGAAACAACTTCTTGTTTCCTTTTTCTTGCTTTGATTTGACCTTCTTTAACTTTGAATCCTACAAAAGGTCAAAAACAGAGTCACAAACCATACAGAAATCGCTTGTTTATTCATACAACAGGGCTCTGCGCACAGTTAAACGACTGTTTGTGTGTTATGTGTCAGAAAGACTCAGAAAGGCTTTGGTTTCTCAGTGAGACGGAAATAGAGATGGTAAGAGATGATTGCAGGTTTAAGCCTGGCACAAAGACAACTAATCACAAAGACACACTTCATCTTGAATCCAGGAGCACAAAGCTGTATCTGACAGACAGAGGACATCACACAGTAAAAACAGGAAAGGCCTATGTTGATTACAACGGGTTGCAGGGACGGACATCTGAGCAGACGTGTGTGTGTGTGTTTTGGGTCATTTGGCAATTTGACACATTCCTTCAGACTCCCTCCTGCCTGCGTCCAGTATGACCCTCAGGATTTGAAATACCGACCCGGCTTTGCAGCTTATTATATAGGAAAGAACCTTTGACACAATATCTCGCTCACTTTCACAAGTTGTTTGTTTTTTTTCTGACTTGCCTTGTACAGAATGTTCTTCCCTCGACTGAAAAAAGGGTCATATTTCACTCTAAAATCAAAATGATATATATACTAATATATACTGGATAAGAAAATTTTTTTTTTCTTAATGACAATAAAGCACATTTCACTTCCTCAGTTCTCACAAACTTAATGTGATGGACCAAAAAACACAATATATATATATATATATATATATATATATATATATATATATATATTTTTTTTTTTTTTTAACCACATTATGGTAGTTGTAATAAAACTCTTTATACACACAAAAAAACTAATAAAAATGACAAAACACAACAAAATTACAAAAAAAATATATATATATATATATATATATATATATATATATTTTTTTTTTTTGTAACCACATCATGGTAGTATTGTTACACTGGATGATTTTAATTACAGTAATGAGAAAAAAAATCTGCATTATGGTAATGAGAATTTCTGGGGATTATTGTAAATCTAAACACCTAAAAAAACAAGTGAAATATGTTTACATTGTAAATCATAAATGTCAAACAACTAAATCATTCTAACATCCAAAGGAGAATGTTTTATCAATTGACTAAAATTATAACTTCCTTAAATGTTTCCACATTCCCTGTCAGATTTCAGAATGGCATTCTGTAAATGTTTAAAATTTTTTGTTGTTTATGCTAATTTAACAAAAAAGTAAAAGTTGCACAAAAAAAAAAAAAGTCCAGATAGAATGATTTTCATTACATTATTAATGAGAATTACTTTATATGCAAATACTTAATCGGCTTCCTAATGTAATACATAATTTTAAAAAAAATGTGTTTTATTTTTTTGATTTTAGGGTGAAACATAACCCGGACATTTCTCTGCGAGATTCACCCAAATACATCTTTTCTAAATATGTAAACATCTACAAGTTACATCGCATTCATTTCTGTATCCTCCAGATATTCAGTAGCTGTTGCTGCATGTCTGGAGGAATTAAAATGTACAAAACACTAAAAAAGGTAGCAGCGCGAGGTTAATTTTATTCGCCACTCCCCGTCTTGTTTCATACCAAAGACCTTTGTGTTCTGTCACTCCGCTGTGCTAAAACATGCTTACTGATTATGCACAATCACATAAACACTTGTTATGTTGGGACCAGCTGTTATTATGAGTTCCAGCACATTTATTTAGCATTTATGAGCATTAGGAGTCTTGGGAAACATTACTCATTCCATCAGATAAACAGACGTTACTATTGGACTCGTCTTTGACCTCAAATAAAGCACAACACTCGTTTGGCTGTCGTCTATCGCTCCATCTGTCTTGTCCTCCCTCTCTCTCTCTCCGCTTGGTTAGGTATAGCACTCTGTGGAAATAAACAACTGTCGATTTAACTTGAGACTGAGCTCCTGCCATCGCTCGAGGAAACGGCAGAACTCTCTGGAAGTCTAACTGTGAAATTATCTTTCTGTTAGCCTCTATAAAGGAGTCATATCAAGGCAAACTGATTTCTCATGATCCTTTGCGATTAAAAGAGTTCATTGTGCTGTGAAAAATGTACTGTAACTTTCAGAACACAAAACATCCAAGTTCAAAAAGCACACACTAAATGCTGCCATTTTTGCTCCTGGGCACTCAGTTCTGGAAGCAATTCCTCCTCTATTCACAAATGGCAAAAAAAAACTAACAAATGTATGAAGTAAAAACCTTCACTAGCAAAACACCACCATGTCGCTGAACTCATTAAAGGGGTCATATGATGCGATTTCAAGTTTTCCTTTCTCTTTGGAGTGTTACAAGCTGTTTGTGAATAGATAAGATCCCTAAAGTTGCAAAGACTAAAGTCTTAAACCCAAAGAGATATTCTTTAAAAAAAGTTAAGAGTCGGCCACGCCCTCCTAAAACGCCTCGTTTAAACACGCCCCCACATGCCTACGTCACTATGTGGGACGAATTGCATAATGCCGCCCAAATTTTCACGCAAAAAAAGAAGGCATAACTTTTATTCTCGCTGTAGTATTGTTGCCGCCGCCGCCATGTCGTGGAGACGCTGTGTGTTTCATTGTGAAAGCGAAACTACTTTGTTTGGCCTTCCAAAAGAGGACACAACTACAAATCAGTGGTTAAGTTGTATTTACAACACTGTTCCAGAACAGTTCAACCCAAATATTCGAGTGAGTGCAGCGCATTTTATGGAGGACTGTTTCCTGGGAGAGTAGCCTACAATGCGTCTGTGGCACAAAGGCTGTTTCTATAAATGGGGCAATTCCAACTTTCAAGGACAGTCTGGCACTTCTGACTCACAGCCTGTAAGTATGTTTTCATATTTAAAGAATTTGTCACTGATGATTCAAACGCGAGTTTTGAGCAGTGTATAAACACGCTTGAGGTATTTAGCCAATCACAACACACTGGATAGCTGGCCAATCAGAGCACACATCGCTTTTTCAGACCGATGAGCTTTGTAAAAATAGACGTGTTTCAGAAAGGCGGGGCATAGAGGAGAAACAATAATGTACAGTATGTGGAAAATAATGTGTTTTTTGAACCTTAAACCGCATAAACATTTCATTACACCAAATAATTTTCTTTTTAGCAACATCATATGACCGCTTTAAAGAGTCATAAGACATAAACCAAACCAACCATATATATTGTGTATATAGTGTATACATATATATGATCCCTTAAGTATTAAATACTAATGGAATCAGTACATCAATTTCTCTTTGGGGAATTCAAATAAATAAAATCTTTAAAATAAATAAATAAATAAATAAAAACTAACAAACAAACACTATAACAAATTAAATATTTGTTATTTACGTTGCATTATATATATTTTTAATCCAAATATACAGCTTTGAATGGTTGTTAAAAGACCTTAGTCAGGTTAGATGCCATACTAAATTTTATGTGGATAAAAATGATAAAAATGAAGGATAAATGTCTTTATAGCATGTGCGGTGTAAAGGTCCAAAATCACTTAATCTTCACAAAACAGCTTGTGGAGTTCTTGTCTACTGAAAGCTATTTTCAGAAAGAAGTTTAGTCAGCTGAACAATTGGCATGTTGTTAAACAGCAGTATAATCCATTGAACGTGCTGTACGTCTTATCCTTCACAGCCTCATTTTCATTCCTGTCTTAAATTAAATATGGCACTACTGTGACTAAAGTCTATGGTGTTTTTTTGTATTGCATAAAACTTTGCTGTTATTGTTATCGCATTTACCAGCTGCTCATGCTATTAATACAAAGGTTAACCCCTGATTACACAGGTGGCCAAAAACAGTCTGTTTAATTCTACTGGTCAGAGAACAGTTCAGATATTTGTTTGATCATTTAAAATATGACATGACAACAGCAGTCCACTGTAGGAAAGCACACCACTGAACTGAATGCTTGCTACTTCTGCTATTGTCCAGATTGTTCTGAAAGAATGTGTCACATCCTCTCTACATGTTTAATAGATTATGCACAACACACTCACACACACACACTTTCTACCCTCCACTGTACTATCAAACTATGAATCTTGCCATTCACCGCATCCATTCACAAAGAACTGACAAAAATAAAAAGTATTTCATATCAGGCTTTTCGCGTCACATCCTAACAATGCTGCTGTTTCAGACACTGTCAACACATTTTTGCATTTCTGTTCGAAGCAACAAAACGTTACGCATGTGTGTGTTGGTGTGTGTTTACCTTTGTTGAGGGGCTCAGAACTTCCTCTGTTCCCTCCGAGTCTTTATCCTAAAAAGCAAAGGCCAAGGAGAACAAAACAATGAGAACACACGCACACACTTAAACACATGCTAATGTATACGAAAACACAACACACACAAAAAAATGTGAGGGATATTTTTAGCATGCTACATATACAAGGTCTTGCACATTTGAGGAGGGACTTGAAAATGATCTTGTTTTCTGTCAAAAAGGGTCATAACATGAATATGGTTAAGGAGTAAAACACTCCTCTTATGGATATCCCACTAGTTTCAAGTGGTAATCCAATCTATTAGTGTTAATGTAATCATTAATGCTGTCTATTTTGGGTGATCAATCATAACTGCTCTGGCACTCAACTTCCTGTTAAGGGTCTGACCTCTTCCCCTTCCTTCCTGCCCCACCTGCACTGGTGCTGCCTCCTGGAAAGATCTTACTTCACTTTTTCACTGCCCTACAAAGGCAGGAGACTTTTAGCACTAGCGCAACAAACTGAAGAGCAAAGGATGCACATTAGGTGTGTAACTGATGCTTTTTCTGCCTCAGAGAATTATGGGAAATGGAGCTGTCACACAAGACTTTCGTCCTCATGAATTGGTGTAGGGTTAGGGTTAGTAGCACAACTGTTTTCGACATTGATAATAATAAGAAGAAATGTTTTGTGAGCACCAAATCAACATATTAGAATGATTTCTGAAGGATCATGTGACATTGGAGTAAATGATGCTGACAATTCATTTTAATATATATTAAGGCAGAAATCGGTCATTTTAAATTGTAATAATATTTTAGAATATTACATTTACTGTATTTTTTTTATTAAAAAAATGCATCCTCGGTGACTTATTTAAAAAACATGAATTAATTTTACTGACTCGTTTTATTATATATATATATATATATATATATATAAAATGTAAAATATTTACCCTTGATTATGGCCAACACTTCCACCAATACAAAAAGACAAGGTTTAAAGAGCAAATCCAAAGCAAACACTATTATTCTAACATGACTCGAAGGCAGAATTTGATTCTTATGAAGAGATAGAGAAAGATCAACCTCCGTTCTGCAATGTCCATGTCATACCTCCCTCTACCCACAACCCTCTGCCTCCTCCTTTTCTACTCCCTCTCACTCCTTGTATCATCGCCACACACCTCCACCCCATCTTACCGAAGCGTTTGGCCTGATTACAGTGCGAATACTCTCTCGAGTGCTCATGTGAAGCTAAGACGCAAAGAGGAATGTTTCGGATATTTTAAGTCCTTTACCCTCTGGACTCTGTCGTTTCTTATGATTGTGGCATTTTAGGGACAGCTCAGACTTGACTTTACTGAAAAAAAGCTTATGACTGAAAAACACAGGGTCATAGGAGGCCATTTATTCTGCCTTCAATTGATTTATGAAGGATCTAACCGCAATATCAACAAAACTGTACCTCAGAATAATGATGTTTACCTACTGGCAACCTGACATGGTTTAGAATAAAACCAATGTTCATAAAATAGCTCGATATAAACCGCTGGAACAGAGAGGTCATTCATCTCCATGAAAACTTGTTTATCAAAGGAAAATCTAAATTTTCTACAAAATCTGAGGTCCTGATGGGACCTGAATAGAACTGCAGCTAAATGTAAGCGAACAACATAAGACCATCCCTTTCCTTCTCCAACATACAATCCACAAGCATAGTAGTACCACTACTGTAATGAGCAATAAGCTTCACTGACAAAATTACCATGGTACCGTACTACCATGGTTTTGGGTATACAATGGAAATGGTTATTTTGGCATTTACCACAGTAATACTGGGTTTTTGTACTGTGACAGTACCATGGTATTCTCTGTACCTTGCATGAACTTACAAAAAAAAGTGCTGTGACAGTACCACGGTCCAGTATCAAATGGTGATACTATTGTACTTTTACATATATTAGGGTCCTGAAATTCATGTAACATGGTATTTACATGACGGTATTCCAACCATACCACAGTATTACCATGGTCTTAGTCTCAGCCTCAGATGTCACGCCCACGGACCGTTGGCTGAACGTCTGATGCATATGGCACACAAAATTGGAAACACTTCGGGAGTTTCGAAGTCGTCATCGGATTGGTTGAATTATACAGGATTTCCGGGAGACATGTGTGTCGCATTCTTTAACGTTCCGCCTGGAAACAAAGATGCCGTAATGCCAAACCCCCTCATAGAAGAAAGCCATCGTGTTTACAGCTGTGACGATGAGCGCTTATCAGGATCAACTAAACGCTGGATTTTCAAAAGTATGTGGAATATTTAAAGTTTGCGGCATAGAATCTTGAAAATTCTATGCCGCACAAAACAAAACATGATTGGTTGCTTTACCTGTCAGTCATATGGCCTCTTGGGCGGGCCTTGGCCATTCAAAGCGGCCAAGGTTCCCAGACCTTTTGCCTTCAGTCTGAAGGTCTGGCTACGCGAGACTACTATGGTCTTAAAAAGGTTTTCTGTACTTTTTTGTAATTTTATAAATAACAATTCAGTAGTAATTGCAAAGTAGCAACCCAACTTTGGGTCAAATATGGACTAACCCAACCATTGGGTTAAATTTTTACATGAAATTTTTAACCCAAAATTTGGGTTAGTTCATATTTGACCCAAAATTGTGTTGAAACAACGCAGCATTTTTTAGATTGTATATATCAAAGTACCATGATATTTTTACGTTTGTTTTTTTTGTATGGTACAATATGTCTGGATATGGCAACAATGGTTATTTGAATATTTACCTTAGTCATAACTGTGTTTTTGTGGACATGTACTATGATAGTCCCATGGTGTTCTTTGAAGAACCTTGCATGCCCAAAAAATACCATGGTACAGTGATGGTTTTAAAAGGTAACACCATGGTACTCGGGTATATATTATGGTCATGAAATTCATGTACCATGGTATTTACTTGATGGTACTCCAGGGTAAATCATGGTAAACATCCAAACAAAATATAGTAGTACCATGGCAGGTTTTCACCATGGTACTGTAGGTTTTCAGTACATTTTTGTAAATGTGTAAATGCCAATGTTATACATTCAGTACCGTGAACACCAAAGTACCAAGACATTTCCATATTTTTGGACATATGGTACTATCATGGTAATACTGTGTTTTTGGGCATTCATTCTGTTCCAATTCCATTGCTAAAAATCTCCTTTCTCTTTTCACTATTGCTACAATAATTAAAACACCATAAAAGTACCGTCGTGTTCTTTGAAGGTCTTTCCTTACAAAAAAGTACTGTAGTGATATCATGGTATAGAGATGGTAACAGATGTTTGCTATGGTACTTTGAAATATGTATAAAATTCATATTGAATTCTATGGCACTTTAAAATAAACCATGGTATTTACTTGGAACGCCATGATACTTCTGAAAATACCATGGCAAAATCATAGTTCAAATACCATGGTGTTTTTGGTACATGTGATAATCATTCCCCTCATCATCTCAACTGTCACATCAATTAATTTAATAAGCAGCAGAGTAACATATTTGATTGCTGCATATACTATTTATAAATCAAAAGGTCAAAACCCATCAGAGAGTTTGGTCTAGCAGCTAGACTAGTTGTCATAATGTTTTTTCACTATCAGACAAGGATATCAGAGCTTTTGACTACTCTCTTTCTCATCTCTGAGACCAAAAACATGTTTATGGAACAGATTCTGTTGAGAAGAACATGACTGTGGCCTAGTCAAGGCCGTCTAATATCACACTAGCCACAGAATGCTGTGGGAATCTTGAACTTTTTAGTGCAAGCTTCTGAAATACATTTTAAAAAAGTGTGAGGGGGAGAGAAAGAAAGCTCATCTGCAACCGTCTCCTGCTGTTACACTGTAGGGACCTTATCTGACTCCTGCAGTCTAACAGCTGACAGAACATTAGATCTGAAAAGGAGGACGGCAGCAAATGCCATGAATCTGTATTTAAACTCAGCCACAGCAGAGCAACATTTAATTAAGATAAATTTATGATCTTATCCATGAAAAAAAAAATCGAACTACATGATCATTCATATCGCAGCACTGGCTCAGAGAAACAGGGAAACATGAACAAAAAACTTCAAGTATGATACTATATGCTATGGGCTCACTTCTCATGACTGATCTGAGCGCCAGTGGAAAACTGGAACCAATAAAATGCACTTCTGTTCTCTATTCTCACATTCTGCCATTCTCATACTCTTGTAGACTCTTATTCTGCTGGAATATTGTATTATATTCAGCTGTAATATTACATATTGTTTTTGTCCTATTCTCTCATTCAATACTCATATTGGTCAACGGATATGGGTTTATTAATGGTCGATGAAATACAAAAGGAACATTTAATTATGATGTATATTCCAAATAAGGATTTTCCATGACAACACTTGAGAATTATAATCAATAACAGTTTATTCTATTCTGATTTCTAAAAACCAAAATATGGCCTAATCTGGGTATGGCAATCATGCCATTTAAATAACTGAAATATGACCCAAAAAAGCTTCTCTCATTCCATATTCATACGGGTCAACAGAGTTTATTGGCCGATGACATCAGCAAAACAAAAGAACATTCAGTTATGATGTATATTTGAAATAAGGTGTTTCCATGACCCCAAATTCTCAAAAATACTTTTACGTTTCTATTCTGATTCATAAAACCAAAATATGGCCTTATCTAGGGACAGAAATCTGGTTAACACGAATGACATTTAAATAACCGAGATATATGACCGGAAAAGCACGTAAACACAGTTATTTTCACTCTTTCAGTTCTTTTAATATCATACCCCATTCTCATTCTCCAATATTATAAATACTGTCTTTTTCCTATCTACTTGCATATTCGAAATATTCAAAATTTTCCCTTCATCGCATGATCCATATGCTTCATACTGAAATGCCCTCCATTACTTTAAACTGTCAAACAAGAGCGATTTCAAAAGTAAGGTGACACATTAATAAGTGGATTAAATTATAGGGGATGATATTTATCATTTCGCTGCTTTCTTACTTTACGACTCACTCGGGGGCGCATCCGCTTTGTAAACAATACAGTCACTGTACAGGCAGAAATGTGACCCAGCCAAACTATGAGACTCCAGCACATTTGATCAAGAAGAATCGCTTTATGCATCCCCCAATTGTAAGTCGCTTTGGATAAAAGCGTCTGCTAAATGAATGTAAATGTAAATGTAAATTTTATTGGGGATGACACTGGGATAGATGTAATTTGAGATTTAAACCACTTCACCAAGAAATATTAAACAAATATTGCACTTTTAATTTAATCTCTATTTAACAAAAATAAACTATTTTGAAACCTAAAAAAAAAACTTTTCATAACAACTGACTCTTTGTACAATAAAAGTGCCCAAAAATAAAGAAACGTGTTGTCTATAGGTACTTTGAATATGTTTAAACTTAAAGTGTGAAGAACAGCGGTGGACGAAGTCTACACAAATCAAGTACTTGAGTAAAAGTGCAGAGCCGTATAATAAAATATTACTCCAGTAAAAGTAAAAGTACTCA